AAGTATTTTAAACTGTGTATTTTGGAAAAAAAAAAAAAAAACAAAACCAACAATGTATATGTGCATTTCAAAAAAGAATGGAGGGAAATACACCAAAGTGTTAGCAATAATCATCTCTGGGTGTGGAGATAAACATTTTTATTTTCTTCTTTTTTGGTATTTTCCAAGTATTCTAAAATAAGCACATTACCCTAATAATCAGAAAATGACATAAAAAAAAGAAAAGAGCAGTGTGCTCTCTGACGTCCCTCAGCGCCATAAATCTACTTCATCTGCACAGCCATTATTCCCAGAAAGCAAAACAGTGACACTCAATCTTGTACTTGGCAAGACAAACATATCCTTGACTCCAAAATGGCTCAGCACACCCACTGCAGCCACCTGAAAACCACTCGTCACCATTTCCCACTGAGAGGCAGAGGGTCTCCCCCTCAAAGATTCATGGGGCTCTCATTCTGTGGCCAGGCCCTCCCTTCACATCCTCTGAAAGGCAAGGGAGAAAGGTGGAATCCTGCAAAGAATTGGGATTTACTGGATTAACCTGCTAAGTTTCGAACTGCCAGATTTAGAGACCATCACTATTTACTGAATGTCCACTATAAGCCAGGAACTGGGCAGGATGCTTTCACATACTTTGCACAGTAGGACTCATTCGCCCCATTTTATACATAAAGAGACTGAAGCTCCAGAACTCACATCAACTTGCCTCAAATCACAGATAGTAAGTGGCAGGGCTGAGACCAAATGCTGCTCACCTGGCTCCAGGTCAGGAAAGGTTTCCTCCTCAGTCACCTCTAGCATCAGCATCTTCGCAGGGAATACGATGCAGACCACACTTCTTCCTTACAGATTTACACCCCACTCTTGGTACCCTGAGACAGTCCACTCACTGTTTCTTGCCCACTTTCTATCTCCATCACCACCCATGGATGCAAACACACTAGCCTCATGTGGATCCACTGCAGCCAAATTCCCCAGCCTGCCTCATGACCCTTAAAGATGATGCTCTGCGGGATGGCGCTCACTGACAAAGCCCTCTCTGGTGGTGTCTGAAGCTCTGGTAAGAGGAGGGGGTCCTACAGCTCACAGCAAAAACACATTCCTCCAAGGATCTCCTTTATGCTCACAACATCTCTGAAGCAGGCAGGCCTTTATCCCCTTTTACAGATGGGGAAACCGAGGTTAGAGAGCGGGCTGACCTGTTCTAAGTCGAATAAGCAGCAGAGCTAGCACTAGAACTCAGGTCACTGATTTCTGGCCCAGTGAGCTTTCTACCACAGATGAGAATAAGGACTTGGGCTCCGAAGCCTGGAGGCCTAGGTCCAAATCTCAGCCCCACTACTTAGAAGCTGTGTGCCCTGGGCTCATGACTTAAGTCTCATTTTCCTCAATCACAACAAGAAGAAGATAACAGTCCCACCTCACAGAGCTGTTGTGAGGATTAAATGAGATAATACATATAAAGAGCTAGCAGGAGCCTGGGATGCTGTCAGCTCTATTATCACCCCACCCTGAAGGCAGAGAAGCAGGACTTTTCCATCTCATCTCCCTCCTATGTGAGGCCCGAAAAGCTTTAGTCTGAAAACAGGGCCATGAGGGCCTGTGCCAACTCACATGGAGCCAGCTGCTGTCTTACGAGGCCTGGCCAGTAGTCCCCACCTGGTCTTCAGATCTTACTGAGACGACTCTGACTACTCTCTTCTCTCTGCCATCAAGGCTCTTCCTCGTCCCCCTTCATTCTCTAAGTCTCCTTCAGTGGCACCTCTGAGGTCAGCTCATCCAGGAAGTCTTCCCGTACCTCCCCAGGCTGGATTGGGTCCCACAGATTCCTACTGGGGTGCTCGCTACAATTATCAAAACTGGCTCTGCACTTCCTGTCTCCCCCACTAGACTCAGCCGCTAAAGGCAGGGACTGTGCTACATGCACGGTCTGATCTTCAGTACGTAGCCATCTGGATTGGTTTCCTACTGCTACCATAACAAATAAAATAACACAAATTTATCATTTTACAGTTCTGGAGGTCAAAAGTCCAAAATCAGTTTCACGGGGCTAAATTCAAAGTGGCCGCAGGGCTGCATTCCTTCTGGAGGCTCCAGGGGAGAATCCATCCTCGCCTTCTTCAGCTTCGGAGGCTGCCTGCATTCCCTGCTCACCGCCCCCGCATCACTCTGATCTCTACTACTGCTGTCACGTTCCCTCCTCTCCACTCTGACCCTTCCAATTACACTGGGCTCTCCAGACAATCCAGGATAATCTCCCTATCCCAGGATCCTTCACTTCATCACACCATTTACCACATAAAGTAACATATTTGCACGTTCTGGGGATTAGAACAAGGACATCTTTTGGGGAGGGGGCCATCATTCGGCCTACTTCACTATCACAGCACCCAGGGTACAGCAGGCGGACGGGGACTGTCTGCCTCATGCAAGGGACCATGTTCCACGTGGTTCTAAACCACTGAGAAGTAGAACCTTCCAGCTGGTTTGGGGGGGAAAGCCAAAATCTCCCAAAGGGAGCCCTCTCTCCATAACCAACAACTCCGAGTTTCTTTGGCTAACGTGGAAGCAGCCCACACCTACGCTCCACACCTCCACGTTAGGTAAAAACCTACTAGTTGATTCTCTGAACTCTGAAAGCATGGATAGATGAATCAATCTCAAAAACCATCCGGTAATTGCCCTTTAGAAAGACTGACAGGCACAGTCTATGTCTTCCTAGAGCTCACAATCCACAGAGCGTCATTGCAATGTGAACAGAAGCCAAAAGGCAGCAGGATAAGGGTTCTATCACTTACCAGCATGAGTCAGATTTGATAAATATCGCATATTATAAATACAGCACATTCTTTGAAATTTCATCAAAATCAAGCTTTAAATTAGCAGGCTACAGTGGCAACCTAGCAACTCAACCACATTCGTTTCCACTTGAGCCTGGTACCTGAACAAGAAAGTGTCAGAACCTCAGAGGAAAAGGGCAGGCTAGGTCCAGGGCTCACCCACGATGTGGAATGTGGCAAGTAAGGAGGGGCAATGGAAGGAGCCCAAGCTGAGACCTGAACCCTGACTCTCCAATCTATCCTATGTGACCATGGGCTTATTAATCAACCTCTCTGAGCTTTCTCAATATAAACACAATGAATCCATTAATACCCACAGGTAAAATGCCTAGGGTGGGGCTGGCCCCCTCCTTCCTGCCACTGAAAGAATCAAGCTGGCAGAGCAAGTACACCCTCTCAGAGGGTGCAAATTGGTGCATGTGCATGATACGCATGGCCCCCACACACCTCCATGATTTCTGCCACGTCCCTGTCCAACCTGTACTTCCACTTTTCTTGAAATAGACCACAAAGACTAGCCACATCCTAAGCAATAACAGCTGCCAAACAATGAGTCTGACGTTCGAGCTATAGTTCTCTTCAAACACACGCGAGAAAAATCATATACTCATGTACAAAACTATTAAAATAAAAAATATTCACCCCTGTATTATCTCATTTCCTGTCACTCTTTGGAAAACGCTGGTGAAAAAACCTGAGTTCTGGTCTCAGCTTAATTAAAAACTATTATGTATGCTCTTCTCTGAGACTCAGTTTCCTCCAAATAATACAGAGGATGGTGTAGACAGCCTTTCCTTCTCCTTCCCGCTCTGAGCTTTATTATCAAGTGGTCCAAATAAGCAAAAGAATCCAAGCAGGGAACTTTCTAAGAAGGTAACGAATACCACTCAAAATGATTAGAGTCCTTCATCTTAAAACCAGATGGAGGAAAAGGATAAGAAATAGCATGACAAAGAGGGATAGGCCGCACTTTCCTTCATCTCCAAAGACTCTGACTTTGTGCTTCTCCTTCATGGGATTTATTACATCAGCAGTTTTTCACCAGAGAGGGCACTTGGTTTTGTAAAGGGGACAACCTAGATGTGAATCCCAGCTCGGGTGGTTGTCGGGTTTTATCAACTGAGGCAAGACATATAACCTCGCAGTTTCCACAGCTGTAAAATGGGTAATACCTCCTTGGGGTTGGGGATTAAGTGTGAGTAACTTGTCTAAAGCACCTGGCACAGGCTGGCTACAACCGCTGTTCGCTATGACTATCGTGCCTGTACTAAGCGGAGGAGTACGTGTCTGCCTCTGGCCCTCAATTACAAACTCTCTGAAGGCAGGAACACCTTGCTCATCTTCCACTCCTCCACTGTGCCTAGCATAGCGTGTCACACAAAATAAAGATCTCAACCCGCATTAGGAGCAGAAAGAGTGCTTGCTCCACCACAGGAAACTGGCTATGACCGGAGACGTGTAAATAAGAAGCGAATCTTCCCCAACAAAAAACAAATGTTCCCTCTTCCTAAAATAAAAGTCTTAAGAAATCCACCAAAAGTAAACAGTGGTTGTCTTTGGTGCTTGGGGCGTGATCCCTCCCTTCTATCTTCCTTTGTAACATTCTAAATTTTCCACAATGTGTACATAATAGGAAAAATTATTTAAAGTATTACAAGGATTAATGCGAATGCTTGACTCTGAATCAGAAAGTAGGAGACCTGGGGTCCAGTCTCCCATTACATATCTGGCTACCTGACCTCAGGCAAATCACTCCACTTTCCAATGAAATGACAGGAACAATAGCCACTCTGATGACATCACCAGGCTGCTGGGAGCCAGGGCGCCCAGGTCCAGGCCACGAACACCCTATCACCGCTGACGAGAGCTCTGGAATCTTCCAAGCATGCCTGGAGGCCCACGAGTTTTCACTTTTTATTCCTAACCAGACCTTTATTCCTTTATTTGTGTCATACCCTCATAAATGTTATTCTTGTCATAAAAAGAAATAATAACCCACAAAGCTGCAGCCTTTTTCTCATCCTATAAACGTGCTACAAAACTAATGAGAACGAATTTGAGGCTGTGATCATAACTCTCTGTTAATGAGCACCACCCGTGTTTGAAACACCACCAGCTGTGAGCCCTTATTTTCACAGTGTGTTTTGTTTCTTTCTTCCATTTTTTTTTTTCCTAATACACTTAAAACTTCAGACCTGAGTACTCACTGGCAGATCGTTTGGATCAGAGGGAAGGAGGCAAAACAGCTAACCAGAACCATCAGAAAGAAAGCTGGGACCTTGGAAACTTGGAGCCTAATTGTCGGCTCTAAACCAAACACTTCCCCTGCCTAAAGTCAAATCAAACTAGCAACCTCTTTTTTTAATCCATAAACATTTAGTTTATTTACACGAATTACACTCAAGTCAGAAGGAGATACAACTGATTCTCAGCATGCAGGTGTGGCCCAGCACTGAGGAAGCTGATGTACAACTGCACCACCATCCTAACAGCAACTATCTTTGATCCACCAGCACCCTCATTCTTAAAAGGCACCATTAGGCGAGTGAGAACAGAGGGTGACAGTCCCACACAGATGACTCTTAAAAGGCACAGCCAAGAAGGGGCTGTGTCCATTAGCCCTGCAGAGCCGGGGGGAGAGGACAAGAAAGGACAAGAAAGGGGCACCAAAAGAACAAACTGACCAATACGGACCTCTTTTACTCACGTTACAAACTTATATCCAAAATTAGCTGGAAAGGTAGGTCAATGGAAGGAAGGCAGAGTGCAAATGTATTTGCAGAAACTTCCGTTTATTCCTTCCTCTGGGAGACAGAGGTCTTCAGATGCATGATTTCCACAGGGGTCAGTCACCCAACAATAACAGTTACAATTCCTAACAGTTCAACTTTCTCATCAATAAAATGTGGGCAATAATCAACTGCATCATAAATTGTTGTGAAAATTAAATGAGGTAATACACAAAAGCACTGAGAACAGTGTCTGGTACATAGCAAGCTACCAATAATTATTCGCACGCCACATTACAATTTTTCATACGTTATCCCATTTGATCATAAGAACTGTGCGAGGCAGGTTTTATTCTCACAGGACACTGGTTCAAGGAGATAAAGGACTTGTCCAGAGTTACAAAGCTAAAGGGCCAGGAATCCAGTTGCTCTTAGGACTAACATTCCCTAATCATGGCTGGACCAGAGATGGCTGCTTTAGCAGGAGTTGTACCTTTCCAGTTCAACTGCACTGTGGGCCTGCAGTCAGGGATTCACGATCTCCAAGGCCTCTCTGAATAACCTGAGGCTGGAAAACAGGTTTGATGTGAAGGTGAGATGACACCCTTCCAGAACAGGACTCACATCTGACCCTGGGAGCCTGAGTATCGCCTCTGGGGTGGGCACAAAATGACATTTCTCACATTCTCATTTTCTACATAATAAAACAACTCTCAGCTGCTGCTCCAAGGATCGTCTAGTTACCTTTAATTAATTAAAAACAGCTACCAATTAACAAGCACTATGTTAAACCCTTTACAAACATCTCATAATCCTCACAATTATCAAGGCGGAGGTGAAGAGAGGTATCCGCATCCCTCTTTAATAGGCAAGGAAATGGGGGATTCAGAGAGGCACAAGGACACGAATCCAGTTTGAACCCATCCGCCTGAATTTAACCCCTTGTTCTATTTCCCCTTGCTCCTGGATACACACCCACAGGGCACAGGCCTGGAACACGAGGCTCTTCTCTCTTCAGGGACAGTATAAAACCTAGGGAAGGATTTCGTGCTTTTGCAAATCAAGACTACAACGGCTGCCAGGGTCTTTTTTTTTTTTTTTTGAGGAAGATTAACCCTGAGCTAACATCTGTTGCCAATCCTCCTTTTTGCTGAGGAAAACTGACCCTGAGCTAACATCCGTGCCCATCTTCCTCTAACTTTATATGTGGGACGCCTGCCACAGCACGGCTTGCCAAGTGGTGCCATGTCTGCACCTGGGATCTGAACCGGAGAACCCTGGGCTACCGAACCGGATGGTGTGGAACTTAACCGCTGCACCAGAGGGCCGGCCCCTCTTGATCTTACGTGATTCAGAACAAACCTTCAGAGCACCTCTCCCTTAGCCTGGGTACTTCCTCCTGCTGCCTGTCTCAGGAAGGGGCTCCCTGCCATGGCTGCTACTGAGGAACACAGTGACAGCCGCCATCAGCCCCAGGGCCTCCGCTAGGAGGGACAAGAGAAGACAAAGCCCAGGAACTAGGGTACAGAAACAAGCCGTGCCTTTTCCCAGCTTGCAGGAGCTATCAGGCCCCAGGAGAGAGGCCTCGGCTGATACTGGACTCATCAGCGCCTGCTCTGCCAAGCACAGACAGCAGGAACAGGACATACGGAAGAATCTCCAACCAGCCCTGCTCACTCCTCTGACCCTACCACCCATAGTGCCCTCCCCGCCTTCTGCTCATCTCTCAATGCCCCAGGGACCCTACTACCACCTTCTCTTTGTAGAATCACCTTGAGCAGCTTCCCCAGACAGTGGCCAGGCCATTATCAGTGAACATTCAGCCAAGACCAACACGTCTGCAAGGTGAGCAGACATTAGATGGCAGCCTTGGGCAGATTTCCCATAATAGAAAAAACTTGTTCTTAATCACCGCCATCTCCAAACCCTCAACCTGCAGAGTGCCAGCAGATCACCAGCAGCTTGGGGCACTGCTGGAGAAGGTGGCACTTTTAAAAGCATGTGTTGGGGGAGGGGTGCCACTGAATTTACATACCACAAACTCAAGTGGGAGGACAAGTGGAACGGACTCCCCAGTAACCCAGGACTCAGGGTCAGCAGTCTCTCTGAAGCCAAGCCCTCCTTTATCATTGCCTCTCTGGAAGGCTGGGGTGAGATGTGGCCTGTGTGTCCCTGGACAGCCATCAGGACAGTCCAGCCCTGGAGACCAGAGCCAGGAGGAAGGTGAACACAGTGAGCCAAGTCACTGAAGAATGGGACAGAAAATTAGGGGGAGGGATGTGGGGTACTACAGCAGGCTGTTTCAGAGAACTTCTGATACGATGCACAGCCCACAGCCAGTGCTAAAATCTCCCTCCCTACAGTCCTCACCCCCATAAGCCCAACCCCTACACACTCCTCTCCCCATACGCCCATGCCCCCTCTATACACTCCTCACCCCCATAAGTCCATCCCCGTCTACACACTCCTCTCCCCCATATGCCCATTCCCCTCTAAACACTCCTCTCCCCCATAAGCCCATCCCTGTCCTCACACTCCTCTCCCCCATACTCCCATCCCCCCTCTACACTACTCTCCCCCATAAGCCCAGCCCCCTCTAAACACTCTTCACCCCCATACACCCATCCCCCTACACACTCCTCTCCCCATATGCCCATCCCTCCTCTACACACTCCTCTCCCCCATACGCCCATCCCTCTCTACACACTCCTCTCCCCCATAAGCCCATCCCTCTCTACACACTCCTCACCCCCATAAGTCCAGTCCCCTCTTGTACCTCTGAGCATCAGCTTCCAAGACATGCTATTCTTCTCAACGCTCCTACTCTACAGATCCATCAACTCTTCTGTTTACAAGGCTGAGGACTCTATCCTAAGCTGGCAAAGAAAAAACAGTTTCCCAGGTCTCTAAGGCACAATGCTGCCAGGAGGGCTGAGTTTAGTGACTCTCCTCAGGCCCCAGCTGGGGCAAAATCTGCTCAGGCCTGCCTCCAACCACCCTATCCAACCAACCTCCCCAAAACCGAGCGCCACCCCCAGCCTTCCATTAAGCCTGCGCCCTCCCGATCCCATTCAGTATAACCCAGCACACACAGCACACCTTGTGAGACAGAAGCCACCTTTTCCCAGCCAGGGGCAAGGGAAACTGAAACCGCTCTGAGGGAACTCCGCCCTCGGCTCTTTCCCACCTTGACCTCTTCCTTCCTCTGGGCGCTGAAGGCACTGGGAGGGACAGGTCAGGTGACCACCTGGCAGACACGTTGGCCTGTCTTAGAGACCAGGGCCAAGGCCACTTGTTGAGCGGTGTGGAGGTGTTCAGGCATAGGGCTCGGACAGGGCAGCGCTTCTCACTGTGCCTCTGACTGCCGGCTGAGGAGTCAGGTCTCACACACCTGGCCTGGAAGCTTCATCAGGAAGCTGCCCTGAGGCAGGGGGTGGGAAGCAGGTTAGTTTCACAAGGCAAAGGAGGAAAGGTACCGGCTGGTTCAAAAGTGGTTAAAAACCCAGAGATGCTCCCTTTCTGTCCTCCCGGGGGAGATGAGCTGTCCCACGGATCGGGAAGAGGGATCCCTTCCTCGGAGCGCCGGTCACCGGGGGAATGCCAGGATCTTTCTCAGGAAACAGGCTGCAATACCTTGGGCTTAATCCTTGGTTGCCAAAAAGGGAAAGAAAAACCTGCAACCTACCAATCTCATTTCCAGATTCCCTCTCTCCAGCCCAGACACATTAATAATTAACTTGCCTACCCGGGAGCTCGCCGGCGTTGCCATAAAAGATGAGTAATGGCATCGGAGCCCCGGCCCCATGCCCGCCGGCTTCTGGGCTCGGGGCTGGGACGGGCGTCTGGAACAAAGCCTCCGCATTCCTCCGGGAAGGTGTGTCTGAAACCAGACCTGTCAACGGGCGAGAAGCTGACCCCTAAACCTCCTCCTTAGACAGCTCCCAACCAGAACGGGGATGGGGTGGGAGAGGGGGAAAGAGGGGAGGAGGGGCGGGCGCCCGGGCACGCGGGGCGGAACTGGTGGTGAGGTCGCCTCTGCCCACTTCCCCATCCCCCCTCCGCGACTGGTGCCCCCAACTACAGCCGATTTTGGGAAGCAGCGCTGTCTGCTGAGAGATAATCTGTTACCATGAACGCAGCCTGTACTTGGACACAATTCTCAAAACAACAAGGCAGCTCCCTCGGCGCCCTTCCCAATGAGTAACCCAAAGCCCGGCGCCGGCTCAGTGAATTCTCTCGCTGAAACTCCAGCGGCGAGCTGCGGCTCCCACGCCGATGGCCGGCCGGGGACAAACCGGCTCCCGACAAGCCAACGGCCAGGCACAAAAGCACCCCCCAATGCAACCCGTGCACCGTGCACCCTGCCGACCCAACAGCCCGCAGCCCCCCGAAAGTTACGGCGCACGGACACACCTGCAGGCCCCCCGCAGCGGCCCCTGCCAGGCCCCCAGGGCGGAGGGGAACGCGTCCCCGGGCGGGCAGCGCCGCGGCTCCATGCGCCCGGGCCGGCCACCGGTCAGCAGCGCTGGGCGGTGAAGCGCGCTGTGGCCTCAGCGCGCCCGCGGCGCATCGCGCGCCCTCCTCGTCCTCGCCTGGGCCTTCCCTGAGAGCCCACACCCACTTGACATCAGCGCAGATCAAAGCACGTGGCGCAGCGCCAGACGGCGGACCCCGGCGGTCCAGAGCGCGCCCCGGGTGCCGCCGCTCGGCCAGGACAGCGCGTCCCAGCGCGGCACATCCCTCTCCTTGCAGAGGATGCTGCAAGCAGGAGTCGGGTAGGGAGACCAAGGAGGGGGAAGGAAACCGGCGGAGGGGCAGGACCTGCCGCTTAACAGCAGCGCTGCTCTGGAGCCCAGCCAGCCACCAGCAGACCTTACAGCCCTGGTCGCAAGCGCCCATCGACTGTGAAGACCCACGTTGCCGTCCTCTCCCCGCCAAGGAGAGCCCTGACCTTGAATTCTCTTCACCAGAATGACTCAAGGAGGCTCCTCTCTAACCACCCCTCCTAAATTGCCAGGCTGATTCTGCCAAGCCAGCAATGACTGTGTGGTTGATGTGGTTGCTGACCCCATCACCCAGGAGGCGGCTCTCGGGCACCCAGAGAAGCAGACCGAACCCTCTGGCTTGTCTCTACGTTAGCTGCCTCAACTGGGTCTTCTTTCTTTCTCTCTTCTCTTAATGTCCTTGGCAATAAGGGACAGTGCACTGGTTCTGCAGGCAATCAGAAGCAGCACCGCTTAGCAGCCTTCTAATTCACTCATTAGCATGCATACAAATAGGCAAACATTCACGCATTTAAGGCTCAGTATGTACCAGAAGCAGCAGATAAAATAAACAACCTACACTCAGAGAACATATAGTCTAGTCAGGGAGAAAGACATTAAACACAAAATAAGGTAATTATAATTGTTACAAGGGTATTCCAGATTAGAGGTGCTATAAGAATTCACACAGAGACCTCAACTACCTTGGCAGTCCAAAAAGGCTTCCCTGAGGAGGTGTCATTTGAGCTTCCTGGGCATGATGAGAAGTTATCCAGGAGGAGAGAAAGTTCAGGCAAAGACCACGGTTATTAAAGTGTAAGCTCACTCCCATTCACAGATGCAGATGATCAAGCAGAAGTGAACGGCCATGCTGGAGACCCCTGGACCTTTGTCCAGGAGGGGCATGGGGGAGCTCACAGGCTCTGGAATACAGCCTGGTCGTCTGTCCAAGGAGGCTCTTATGTCTGTTTTCTTGTCTCTCCCTGAACCAAGCTGTCCCACCTCAATGGAAGAGCTCTGAAGAGTCAGGAGCTTTTACCTCTGGCTCCAACTGCATCACCAGTTTGCTGTGTGGCTCTACAGAAATCCCTTCCACTCTCTGATTTCAGTTTCTCTATCTAATATGAGGGGTTGGATTAGGACAGTGTTTCTCCATTTTATTTTTTAAAATACATACTCCCTTTTGGGGAAATATACAAACGTCATTCCTGTTCTCTAGCATCTACGATGACAAGACATCAAATCATTTTCCAAATCAAAAATTATAATTTGAATATGCTCTTAAAACTACATATGCCCTTTAAGTATTAAGTAATATTGTCTTTAGATGTCTGCTGAAGATAACTTGGAGGCAGGAGTAAAGAAATGGTCTCTAAGCTCATCCTTTTCCTGTTATCTGTCCCTGTCCCTCCCACACGAACCTGGTCACCAGCATTTATCATCTCTAGCCTTATTTTATTCTTTCCAGGATAAATTGGCCAGGCAATGAATAGAAACCCTGGGTCATCCAAAAAAAAACAAAAAAAAGGTCATGCTATGGAAGACTCTTCTGAATAATAATTTCCAGTAATGCTGGGAAATAGACACTTTGAAGGAAGCACACAATGTTCCTGGGGACAAATTAGCAATATGAATTAAAAGCCTTAAAAATGTTCATATCCCTTGAACCATCAATTCCACATCTAAGAATTTATCCTCAAGACATAATTATGAATGAATGCAAAGATTTATCCACAACATTGTTCATTTCACCCTTTTTATAACAGCAAATAATTGGAAACAATCTAAATGCACAACAGGAGATTGGTTAATAAACTGTGGTACATCTTTATAACTGAACATATGCAACTTTAAAAAATAATACATAGAACATTTACTGTTGAATAAAACAAAGTTTACAAAACAAATGCTCCCAATTGTGTGTGTGTGCACATGTGTGTGTTGAGGGTAGTAAACACCTATGCTGGAGTTGCACTCTGTTCATTCCCCTTGCTGGCTGACTCAGAACCCCCTGGAGCAAACTGTGGTGCCACCACGGCATGTCATCCTCACAAGTCAATCTACTAACCAATATTAAAGTTACAGAAGCTTGGTATTGAAACAGAATGGAATAAACCTTACAGGCAGGAACATAGTTCGATTTTCCACCATCCACTCACCATTAGGGATTTCATAGTAATCTTAAAGGTGGAATGTTTTTTCCCCCAACTTTTCATTTCACACAGGTTTTTCAGTTGTTCTCTCCTTGAGTCTAGTTCAGCGGTTTCCAAACTTTAGAGTGCATAAAAATTACTGTCCATGGTGGTTTAGAGTAATTTTGACTTTATGAGATTCTTTTCCCTTATACTCTGAGTTTACAACCACTGTATGACAGTTCAGAAAAAAGACTACCAGGATATTTACCAAAACCTTAACAATGTTGGAATTACAGTGGATTTTTATTCCCTTCCTTGGGATTTTCTGTGTCTTCCAAGTTGTCTGACAATAAACATATATTATCTTGGTAATCAGAAAATAAAATGCTACCTAAAAATAAGTGGATTAAAAACTCTCCGAAAGATAAAAAGAAACTATGCCTTGACCTTAACAGAGGTGACCCCGA